CTGATGGAGAGGATGTGGTCTTGAACGTGAGGGGGTTACGGACGATGAGATCGTTTCCTTCTTTCGTTTCAGATTTTTGCGCGCCAAGAAATTTCCGGGAAATAACGAGCGAGAGAGTAATGTGAAATGAGTAATATAATAAACAACAATTCCAATTATTATAAGAAATGTTTTTTACTGGTTCTTATAGTTGCCGAAGGATTGAAATTTATAAACTAAAAAAAAAAAAACTTGATTCATTCTTGGGAATGTTGGAAACACGCGTCAAATATCTTTTTCTTCCAATTAAACAGTCTTTTGTTCGATGCTGGTGCTATTGAATAAAAATAGCGAAATCGATCAGGTAAATACTGGATAAAGCCTCTCAAATACGCCTAACGATTATCGGCAATGGAATAGAAAAAGTGATACCATTATCGATGGATCAAATTAACGATAATCAAACATTGCAGAGTTCGCCAACAACGAGGACTTACTGTAAACATATCCTTTTCTCACCCCATTCGACGAGTAATTGTCTCTTGTGCAATAATTTTTCGTCCATCGTGTGCTCAAGTATTTGGTATTCAAAAAAAAAAGAAAAGTTCTCTGTTAAAAACGTACGTGTAACAATTTAAAAGACAAAAAAAATAGGTGACAAAATCGAGTGACAGATATGAAAGTACATGTTCACCTACACACCTATATATAGACGTACAACTTAGAAAAGGATATATGTATTATCAGCTCGTTTATACTTACGTTCTTTTTATATTTCAATTACGTTATCAAGAGTGTGTGTTACTCCAGGGTCGGAAGAATACACGCATAAGATATAATATAAGTACCCTAAATCACCCACGACCGGCTATCCATACTCGTGGACCTATATTATACTTGAAAAAAAAAAGATGTACTTAGGTAATTCTTGCTACAAATGAATTTTACTTTTTTTTTTTTTTTTTTTTCACGATAAAGAGACGTGATAATTTTACAAATGGACGACGAAGCATTTTCCCGTTCATCGGTGCCATTTGAACATTTGATTCCGCACTGGATTGGCCCATCAGCGTCCCCTCGGCGTCGGACGATCTTTTGGTTCTGAAAATCTTCAACGAGCCGCTGTACAACCGTTTCCCCCTTCGGGTCCCATTATCTTCTTCGCTGCGTCCCTACGCGATCTACACGTGAACAAATTTTCGTAATTTTACAACGCTGGACGTTGGATAAAATCCGACATCCCGATGTACATCGATATACTAGCCAATGCCTAAATGTCGGATTTTTTCCAAAGCTGCTGGTAAATTTACGGATCATTTTTTAACGCGTAATCTACGTAAAATACGTTTCGAGCAATCGTCAACGTAATAATGTACGCTCCATCAGCTGTGACAATATTATCAATTATACCCGTGTACCTTACGTCCGAGACGACAGAGCCGACAATGCACTCTTGCGTATCTATAATGCATAAAATGTTCGCGATGGCAACCTTGAGTCTAGGCTATATATACGTACGTGGATATACATAGGCGAGGGTCGCGTCGATCGGAAGCAAAAGCTTCGTTCAAGTGCACGCGAATAAGTATATTTCCAACCGAAGACCGTTATTCGATGAACAGTATTTGCTCCTTTTTTTTTTTTTTTTTTTTTTTTTTTTTTTTTTTTTTAATGTCTACATGGACATACTGCACGAATAATGTTGCTCTCGACTTCGTCATGATCAAGTTGGTATAGATCAAGATCATGGTGATAGCAATGATGAAGCAAAGTGAAGATTTAGTTACTGATGAAATTAAAGTTGACTTTAGCCGGTCTTCGGTGGGTGGGCCGAGAAGGTCGTCAAGGTTTTTAAAAAATTGGGTTTTCGTACGTGACTGGCATTTTTGTAGGAGCTCTTACAGTATCGGAAAAAAAGGCTTTTCACTGTAAAGGTCCCTAAACTGAGAGAAAAATTTTTTTTTTAATTATAGAGAAATTCCAGCAAAAGTTACCATTCCGCACAGTAAGTCGGGTGCAAGTTGGCAAAAAAGGAAAAAATTATTATTTTTAACAGTAAAGATTATTGATTTAACAATTAATATGTAATACTTACTAAGCTTTGTTTTACACGGTAATACAAAACCAACCAAGATTTTTGTTTTACAAGATTATCATTTAATACGCACACTGTTCATCATACGGCACGTGTACAATTTTAAATGATAATCTTGTAAAAAAAAAATCTTGGTGGGTTTTGTATTACCATGTAAAACAAAGCTTAGTAAGTATTATATTTTTATCCAAGTTTCATTTAATAGATTATCATCAACAAATAGACACCAAAAAAAATTATTAAGTTGTTATAATTATAGCTCGAAAAGTAGAAATTATACTTAGAATAGTAAAAATTACTATGCGGAAATGTAAAATTTATTAAACGATTCTTTTAAGGTTTACTGTTCTTACCATAATTTTTACCTTTTGAACCATTATTTTAACTATTAAAAGAATAATTTTTACTGTTAAAAATAATAACTTTTTCCTTTTTTGTTTGCATACGATTTACTGTGCAGAATGGTAATTTTTTACTAGAATTTCTCTATAATTTTTATTATTTCTTTTTCTCAGTGTAGTACCGGTACGGTGAAAAATAAATTGTCATAGTATTAAAAAGGTGTTTATTTTTGTGGTGCAAACAGTATTACCATTTGAATCTCTACATTTTGTGACATTATACAAATGTATATATTGTAACGATGTTTGAAAAGCCTCCTCAAAAAAAGAAACAAATAGTTGGTCGAAATGCGGCAACTCGGTAATTAATGACAAAAGTTAAATAGCTAACAGTGAAATGATTTTTACGTTTTTCATGCGCATGAGGCTAATTCAAAAAAGATTTCTTCCAAAATACTTATTTAATTGTTTAATTTTTAAACACACTATTAATTTTTTAATGTTTTGCCTACGAAATCGAAATGATTTTGTTCTAAGAACTTCTGACATTATTCAAAATAACGTTATCAGATAGGCTGTGACAACACTCTTATCGAACATCAAATAAATCCTACAGCAATTTACAGAAACAATGTATGAAATTGTCATCGTAGCTTTGACAGCTGAGTGTGTGTGATTTTCCTATCTCTTCGTTGACATTTTTATTGACTTTTACTCGCAGCTGTATACACAAAACTATTCGCCACTTAAATCGTGTTTTTAATAATAATTCAGTAATTAAAAAAAAAAGTTATATCTCATTGTGAGTACTAATAGAAATTTATAATTGACGAATGTGGGTGTGATGTAACTTAATGTTCTTGCTTTTATCACAATCAGCTTTCCGGCTTGATTGAAGTTCTCATCGTGACATTTCTGAACCTCGACCTGCTCTCTTTTCTTTTCAGTGTTTTTACACACACGTCAGATAACTTTGTCTCGCAGATTAAAAGATTTTTTTATTCGTTCGTTTTTTTGCTATGTTTCAACACACCCGTTTAACAGATTTTTTTCAATTTTGAAACCCAACGTACTTCTAAATCTGTTTTATGTAACAAAAAAATAATTAATTTTTAATCAAACAAATAAACTTTTTGCCTAGACCCAAGTAATATGACAAATATATTGGCAGTTTTATAATTGTATAATTTACTGGTTTGTAAAAAAAAATAAATAAACAAACGAAACAATTGTAAATGACAAAAACATATACATGAACTGAAACTTAAATCAGTGAGTATCGATTTAGATTTCTTTTCTTATCAATTTCTGAATGTTGATGCTTTAACCCAAGCTTATGGATTTTCTTATAAATTTTAAAAGGATTTTCTAATAAGTTAAATAATCAAATTTCTAAAATTACTACTAACACCTTGTATCCATGTTGGAGAACTGACGTAAGACAAATTAAAATATTTATGGTCTGGACTTGAATAATATTATTCTTGTACGATCGTACAGTATGTCCTGTGTACTTTTCAAATATTTTGTCTACAACACTCTCCCACGAAACTATAGCATAAACATTGTGCTGCCGTTTATTGTTATGAATTCGTATAAACCAACTGGTTATAAACACGTTTGTATCAGAAATCAACGTTAAACATGACGAAGACTATTGTAAAAAATTTAGAGAAAAAATTAAGGTTAATTTGAGTATAAATTGCTTAAAAAGTGTAGAAAAATTTGATAGTAATTTGTTATGTTAATTTATAAAAGTTCATTTCTGTGTACAAATATTTTTGTAAATTATGATAAAAATGACGCAATTCATTTTTTAATTAATGAAATTTAAGAATTACAATAGTATATAATATGACTAAATGTATGAATTTTATTATTTATTATATTTTGTAACGATACCTTGTTACAAAATTAGAGTAGATTTTATCTGGAAATCTTTATGGTTTTAGCATAAAAGTACATCAAATTTCAAGATCCTTTCAAGTCTTGAGGCAACCCCATAAGAGAAAAATCCTAAACTATGTGCCTTTAAACTTAGCAAACGCAGTTTTGTTGATTAAACTTTTTTTTTTTTTTTTTTTTTCAATGCTTCTCAGGTATAATTTTCCAAGACTTCCGTCGATTAATTATAAGTCACCTCAGTGAGCAATCGTCACAGATAAACGCTTATTTATAAAAAAAATACGCAATACGCTCTACCCAATCGAAAAATTCCACTTGGATTGCAGTGCCCCGCTTGCACATTCATTCACGTTCGAGATCCAGACCCCCTCCATCCACGTATGCAAGTATAGCACCGAACTTTGAAATAAAATTCTAATTATACCAGCCGTCGCGCCGATCGGACGCTAAAAAATCAAAGAACGAGACGGAAAAAACGATTCCCCCCCCCCCAAAAAAGGGGGGGAAACACATATGCACAGCAACTTCTTGCACGTATACGCGCTGCTATGTTTTGCAAATATACGTGTGTGTATATGTATATACGGATAAGAGGAAGAAAAAGAAGACATAGACGCTGCGTCACAAACGTTATAAGAGCCGGCCACGGGGTAGCGACCCGGCAGTCTTCGGCACGTGCTCGCGCTCGTCCTCTCTCTCTCTCTCTTAGCAGCATTTAATCGAGTGTACATAATAATTATATATTCTTGTACATCTCCTTTTGGTGATTTGTATAATGTTGTAACACACGGTTTAGTTTTTATAGTGTTGTACTGAAAATTCAGTGTTTCCGAGGGCTTTTACCAGCTAAGTGTATAGTTAAGAGTACAGTCTGTTTCGGTTTGTTTGTTGAAAGCCAATAGTGGGAAGTGAAAAGTCGATGGGACAGGAGATTCTTCGTGACTTTTATTGGCAAATTTGAGCTGCTCGAGATGCCGTACATCAAGAGATCCATTCGAGTGAGTCGTTGATTTCAGGTGGGATCGAGAAAAAAATCGGCATGATATCGGTATTTTGATTTTCGCGTATAATTTCGATGGTAACGTGTCAAAACATGGAAATTTCATTACACGACTTGAGCACTTATCGCGCGAGGCGCTTTTGTTTTGACTTTGATCCTGCGGTTGAGAGTTCGTTGTTTAATCTTATCGGTGTTATTGACTGAAATGAGGCCGGGTGCCTTTGGACATTCCGACGATGACGGTTTTTCTTCGACAAAATGGTATATCTGACGCGATTTCATCCGAACGTGTATTTTGCTGGCGATTCGTCCGACAGATGATGTTGGGATTCGCGTTGACACGCTGTCTGAACAAAACTTTGGATTAATTTGATTTTTTGTCAATAAGATCCTTCAGTATTGGTGTTAATTGATCACCGTGAAAATTCTTTTGTCCAATACTAATTTTCATACGATTAAAAAAAATTTTTTTTGCACGTGTGAAGGCTTGGCTTGTTTTTGACCATAAAATGTTACGATGGATCCAGCGGTAATTTTTAAATACTAAAATTAACGTAGTGCTAATGAAAAATATACACCTTAAAAACGCATAGAATTCTTTTATAAAACTTCAATTATCAAATTTTTTTAAGTCAATACATTGCCCAATCATCATAGTGAAAAATGATTTTTTTTTTCCGCAATAATTCGATTTTTTTTTTAGAAAATTAATCATAAAATTAAGTAAAATCCCATTACGATCTTTATACTTTAAAAAATTTCCTAAAAATTGTATTAAAATCTAACACGTATCATTTAATTTTTCATACATAAATTGATAAAGAAAAAAAAAATTCTTCGTTAGTTAAGTAATTTGAAAATATCCATATCAATTTCAACGCTGCCAAAAAAAAAAAAAAAAAAA